TCTACTGGTAATGAACTCTTTTAGCTTTTTCTTGTCTGGAAAACTCTATTTCTCCTTCATTTCCTAGTGAAAACTTTGCCAGGTAAGGTATTCTTGGTTGCAAGTGTTTTCCTATCAGTACTTTGCATAAATTATGCTTCTCTTTTCTGGCCTGCAAAGTTTCTGCTGAAAAATCTGCTGATAGTCTTATGTGAGTTCTCTTGTATGTAACAAGTTGTTTTTCTCATGCTGCTTTTAAGATTTTCTCTTATCTCTACTTTTTGACATTTTAATTATAATGTGTCTTAGTGTGGGTTTCTTTGGGTTTATCTTATTTGGAACTCTCATGGATTCCTGAATCTGGATGTCTGTTTCCTTGTCCACGTTAGGAAAGTGTTCAGCCATTATTTCTTCAGATAAATTTTCTGCTCCTTTCTGTTTTCTCCTTCTGGGTTGCCTATAATATGAATGTTATTCCACCTGAGGTTGTCCCATAAGTCCCTTAAGCTGTAGTCACTTTTAAAAACTCCTTTTGCTTTTTGCTGCTCTGTGTGGGTGTGTTCCACTGTTCTGTCTTTGAGATCACTGATCCTTTCTTCTGCTTCATCTAGTCAGTTGTTGAACCTCTCCAGTGTATTTTTCAGTCCAGTTATTGTATTCTTCAGCTCTGTGACTTCTGTTTGGTACCTTCTTATATTTTCTATCTCTATGTTGAAGTCTCCGCTGTGTTAATCTGTTCCTTCTGAGCTTGGTCAGCATCTTTAGTGCCACTATCTTGATATCTTTATCAGGTAAATGGCTTATCTCTGTTTTATTAAGATTTTTTGCCCTGAAGTTTTATCTTTTATCTTGGTTTGTAACATGTTCTTCTATTTCCTCACTTTTGCTTGACTATCTCTGTTTTTTCTATGTATTAGGTGAAACAGCTACCTTTCCTAGTCTTGAAAGAAAGGCCTCATGTAGGAGATGAACCAAGTTGTTCAGCCTTGCCCTACCTCTTAGTTTTCTCTCAAATCTTTATGATTGTCCAGCCTGTTTTATTTTTAATAGTTCCCAGTTGTTGAGGGTCTGCCAAGACCTGTCAGTGTTCCAAATGGAGGGATCCCAGCCAGCACCTGATTTCAGGCTACTTGAAATGAGACCCTCAGGCAGCAGCTTTTAAAATATGCAAGAACATAGAGTTCTCTGGGACCACCATTATAAACCTTGCTGCCCTCCAGACCAGGTGATATGGAAGTGTCTTCTGTGCAACAGGTGCAAAAATCAGGACTCCAGACAGTACATAAACTCCTTTCTGGGTGGTACCAGTGAGCTGTGGTAAGACAGAGACAGAGGGTGAAGACAGCCTTCCCCAGTCCACATTATCTGAGAGCCAGGTGATCAAGGAGGGTCCCTTGTTCAACAACAACAGAAACTGGGGTACTAGATGTAAAACTGGGGCACCAGACACGTGCAAATTTCCCCTCCCAGAGATCCTGGTGGTCCAGATGCAGTAGAGAGGGTGTTTGGATAGTCTCTGGATAGGTTTTCATTGAGCCCCTAGATGTGTGTTAAATTAGAAGCCTGCCCCTCAGGCTGCAGCTATGATGATAAGCATATAAGCCTCTTTCACAGAAAGACTGAGCTTCTAGGGCTGTTGCCTCCTGCTTTGTCCTGAAGGCGGCAGCTCTTTAATAACTTTGTTTCTGTTGTTTACAGTCCTGAAGGACCTGTGTACATAATCTCTGCTGGGCTCCAGAGCCAGGTGATGTAGAGCTGTGCCCTGGCAGCAGCTGCAAAAGTTGGGGCATGAGACAAGGGAATAAGCTCCTTTCTGGGAGATATCAGCAAGCTGGAGCAAGGCAGAGAGAGAGCCCAAAGACTATATCCATGGCATCTGTTCCCTGAACACCTCCATTGGCCTAGATGAGTATGCCAGACCAGAATCCTGCTCTCAAGCCAAAGCTCCTGGACAAGCAAATAGGCCTCTTTTTCAGAAAACATCTGTGCTGTGTTTCAGTCTGCTATCAGCGCAGTGTCCTAGGGGTGGCTGCCAGCCAAGAACTGTCTCTCTGATTGTTACAGTCCCATGGGACCCAGGAATGCAAGCCCTTCTGGCCTCCTGAGCCAGGTTTTCAGGTGGTGTCCCCTAGGATACTACAATAAAAACTGGGGCTCTGTGTGTGTAAAAAAATAATGCAAGTGTACTAGACAGGTATAGAATCTCCCCTCCAGGAGATACTGGCACTGTGGAGTGTGGCAGAAGGAGCGCATGTGAACTGTGCCTGCAGGCTTCAGTTAGGCAGAGGGGGAGCACAGGGGTGGTGCCTGGCAGCTTTAGTGAGGCAGAGGGGAGACTAGTGAGGCAGCTTTAGCAAGACAAAGGGAGAGCACGAAAATGGTACCAACCAGTGCCTCCTTCCCCAGAAAGAACCCCAAGAGACCATTGTACCTCTGGTGGATGCGTTAGGTTAGCACATTATTCTCCTTCGCTTTGCAAACTGCTGCTTCTGCACTGAGCACTGAAGCAAATGAGTACAGGCACAAACACCTTAAAAGCAGTTTCTCCATTTGCTGTTACCATTTGGGTCTTGTGGACATAATCCGCAATTGTTTCCACAGCCCGATGTTTTGGGGGCTTGTCTCTCAAATGCAGATCTTAAGAGTTGGAGTGTTTGAGTTGGGATATGAACCCTTTGCTCCTCAGGGAGAAGCTTTGGATGTGTGAGTTGTGAGAGAAGCTCTTGATGTCCTGATTGTGGGTTGCTGCACGAGGGGTGGGGATTTTTTACAAGAATATGTCTCAGCCAATTTTAACAATTACATTAAAAAGCCATTAAAGTTTATTGTGCACTTTCTTGAATTATACACAAGTGGAAATATAGTGTATGTATCATAATTTTTGTATGCCTCCTTTAATTCATCAAATTATACATCTCAAATATGTGCAGTTTATAGTACATAATTACATTTCAACAACTTACTTATAAAGAAAATATTCTAGGGGTGCAGGGGTCATAACAGGATCTGGAGCACAGTTTGATGGTTCACACTGAGCAGTGGTAGGAGATCTCTCTTCCACCTGCATAGAAAAAACTGTCATCTATGGATATAGAAATAGTAGAAGTAATTTAAAGCACTTTACACTTGATCAACTTTTTTCTATAAAACATAAGATAAAAATACACATAGAAATAGAGTTAACTGATCATATATTGGTTCAATGAGAAGAGCACCACGGCCTCACACGACATCATGGAACAGCCTTAGAAACAATGGAGGGACTCACAGCTGACTGTAGACCCGTGAGGAGACCAACAGAACTCAGAACAACTCCCCACCATGCAATGTCTTCTGGTAATAAAGTTAGTATATTAAATCATTTGCTTTCAGGATGGCTTGTTATGCAGCAATAGGTAACTGATTCAATAATCAAGGTAAACAGAAGTGAGGACAAGTATAATAATCTGCTCCTGATTATTCCTGACATTTGTTCTTATATTTGAAGACAGCATTCATGGTTACTCTGTTATTTCAGTTTATTTTAGACAAATGTGTTTTAAAACTCTCTTGTCCCATTTGCGACAACATGGATGGACCTGGAGGGTATTATGTCAAGAGAAATAAGCCAGACAGAGATAGACAAACACCACATGATTTCACTCATATGTGGAAGACGAACTAACACAGAGACACAGAGAACTGTTTTGTGGTTACCAGGGGCAAGGGGGTTGGGGGTGGGCACTAGGGGTGAAGGGATACAATTATATGGTGACTGAAAAACAATAGTATACAACTAAAATTTCACAATGTTATAAACTATTGAGATATCAATAAAAAAAAGAGAGAGAACCAGGAAAAAAACTCTCATAGGGGTTCATTTCCAGGTAACCAGGAGAGGTTGAAAGGACATGCATGTTTGTTCAGGAAAACTGGTACCCAGATTCACACGACTGGACAGCAATTCAAGCTCCCTTTTGAGTCATTCTTTGATCAGAAGATAGATATAATCCTGAGTATAATGGAGATATATAATGGATGATAATGATAACGGTCATTCAAAATTCCTTTCATGGTTATGACAAAACTTAGAAGGGAGAGAACATTTTTCCTTTATAGCAATGAAAGGATTCATGTTATAAAGAACACTGGAAGTTTGCAAGCAGAAACAAAAGATAATTCAATAAAAAGTAGAAAAACACCAATTAATCCTTCTTCCAAAAATATAAACCTGTTTACACAAGGCCACTAAGCCTCCATACTCCAATGAGTAGATGTATAACAACAAAAAAAATTCTTCAGAGAATACAAGTTATTGTTTTAAATTTTGCTTCATAAAATTGAAGACCCTCTGTGATTCTAAGGTCATATTAAGTTAATCTGTTTATTAAAACCTGTCCTTCAATGAAGACTCCTCTGGGAGAAATGTATTTGATGATCATTCTGTCAGTAACTAGGGTAGGCATTGTGGACACCAAACTGAAAGAGTATAAAATCATAGTGAGGAAAATAATGCCCAGTGACCAGTTATAAATCACAATAATATGTTACAGTCTACATTACTTGGAAGAACAGTTAGGATAGTGACATACAAAGGAAGGCCAGGCATAAAAGTGAAAACTGTGGTCTCCGAGTTTCCTCTATCATAAAATTATACAAATTGCCTTGGTCATCAAGTGGAGTTTTTTTCCCATCCATGAAAATCCTTTTAGTAAAACAAAAGAAAAGTTATTTATGACATATGCCATTTGAGAGAAATTATTCTAAAAAAAAATCCATGTTCTCTCATTAAGATAATGGGAATTTACAAATATTCTGATCCATGGCTGGAATAAATTTCAAAAAGTAAGAAAACAACAAAGGGAAAAAATGTTGGATATCAAAGCTAGCAGAAAGATTAACAAAGGGAGTTACTTAAATTGAATAGAGAAGTTGAGGTCAAAGAAGTAGAAATACCAGGAAATAAATGGAAAGAAGATCAAATAATCCCATTTTCTCACTCTGAGGCTTTTACCTCTGCAATCATGGGCACTTCTTCAGTGCTAGGACAATTTTGTAGTTTCCTTTACAAAGAATGTTTTCAGAGCTCTCTTTATGTCATTATTCCTCAGACTGTAGATGAAGGGGTTCAGCATGGGTGTGACCACAGTGTACATGACTGAGGCTATTTTACTTGAGTGTGAGCTCTGGATAGCAGCAGAGCTGAGGTACACTCCTAGGACCGTACAATAATATAAGGAGACAACGGAGAGGTGAGACACACAGGTAGAAAATGCTTTGTACTTCCCCTGAGCTGATGAGAGTCCACGTATGCAGGAAACTATCTTAAAGTATGAGTAAAGGATACCAGCAAAAGGACCCCCACCCAGCAGGACAGCTGCAAAATACATCACCACGTTGTTAAGAAAGGTGTCAGAACAGGCAAGTTGGACCATCTGATTGAGTTCACAAAAAAAGTGGGGGATTTCCAAGTTGGTACAGAAGGAAAGCCGCAATGCCATTAAGCTTTGTAATAAGGAATTCAGGACACACACAATCCAGGACACCAGGACGAGCAGTCCACAGAGCCGGGGGTTCATGATGACCATGTAGTGCAGCGGGCGGCAGACGGCCACAAAGCGGTCATAGGCCATCACAGTCAGGAGAAAGATGTCCAACACTGCAAAGAATATGAGAAAGTAAATCTGTGTGATGCAGCCTGCATAGGTGATGACTTTACTCTGCGTCTGGATGTTCCGCAGCATCTTTGGGATGGTGGTGGAGGTGAAACAGATGTCTACAAAGGACAGGTTGGAGAGGAAGAAGTACATGGGAGTGTGGAGGTGAGAGTCTGAGCTCACAGCCAAAATGATGAGCAGATTTCCACACATAGTAATCAGGTACATAGTGAGGAAAAGCCCAAATATGATGAGCTGTAGTTCTGGTTTCTCTGAAAATCCCAGAAGAAGAAATTCTGAAATTTGTGTATCATTGCTTGGTTCCATGTGGTGGAGGTGACTTCCAGGAAAGAAGGAAATAAAATGACTAACTTTCACACAAACTCACATTACTAACAGATTTGAAATGCTACAATGTATCCTTTGTATTCAAAAAATTAATGTTAATATTATGTTTATGGATATGGCCCACTTTGGGGGTCCCTCATGCCACATCTGATATGGAATTTTTGTCCCAATTCAGCTTTTTTTTCTCAAGGGTCATGCATTCTACAGTTTTAATGACAAATTCTTCATGTATTTCTGGAATAAACTGAGTGCTGACCATGTTTTAGGCACTGTCTAGGCAATGCACAAAGGATGTTGAAAACAGAATTCCCTATAATAGAGTGATGGAGATGAATGTACAGTACAGGCAAATAATAAAATCACATAACATTTCAGATGGTGTAGGTGGTGTGAAGAAAAGGAAAGCAGGTATAAAGGAGAGAGTGAACAGGGTGTTCTGTTTTTCATGGGGATTCAGTCAAGACCTGCAAACAAGGTGACATGTGAAGAGATCTCAAGTAAGGCGAGGGAGATGCAAGTTTATGTGGGCAAGTGTGTGTCTAGCAGAGGGAGTGGTCAGTGCAAAGGCCCTGAGGAATGTGCTTCTTTCAAATGTTTGAGTCAAAAAACAGTGAAGCCAGTGTTACAATGTGCATGAACCTGAGGGAGAGCAATGAGAGATGTTGTCAGTCTTGTTAAGGAGTGAAGTGGCCTCTCTGCCACTGCTAAAACCTCAAGACCCAGGAACCTCATCATCCATACTACTTCTTGAACTTCATGAATCTTTTTGCAAAGGTGTCACCTGAACTGCAACAGATCCCCTCTTTAGTACTTTCTCTTGATTGAATACTGGCCCCTCTATTGTAAGAGTCACCTTAGGATATATGAGTCCTGCTGCCTCTGTTCTGAGGACTTCCCACACTCCACAAGTCACACAGACACACACATTTGCAGCACACCATGGCCTCCTGGTTGTGTTATTTCCATGTCTTTCTCAGCTCCAGGCATATTGAATATGTGAGGAATGAATACAGCCAGAGTTGGCCAGATCAATGATCTTTCTTCTGTGTAATGTGGAAATGGCTCTTGGAAGTTCCAATTCTTAAGCCTACCATGAACAAATAAACTTGGCGCTTCATATTGGGGTGGCCCTTTTCAGCCACCCATTAATATAAACGTAAAAAAATCTATTCAATAAACAGAGAGAGAGAATTAAATGGAGGAGGAGAAAAGATCTAATAAGCTCAGGTGTCAGCTGAAATTTCAAGATACAGGGAGCCCCTCATTCAAATGCCCCTTGTTAATTTTGTCTCCCAGGAATCCTGAGAGTAGAAATGACCCCTTCATTTCCTTCTATTAGTTAACATTCTGACGTCTGTATTTTAAGGGTCTCATTTTGAGGTATATGGGCTGGGTATGACTTCCCTGAGAACTGCTTTTGTTCCACAAAATACACAGGCACACACACACACACACACACACACACACACACACAGAGTGGGCTGTGACTTCCTGGAGCCATGTTACCACCAGGCACTTCTCACCCTAGTCACAATAATTGGGAAAGAAATGGTACAAAGGAAGATGTCAACAGCAGATTATCTTCACACTACAGACTGTAAATAGTACCCAAGTTCCAGTTTGTGAGCCTCCCATGAACATGGAAAACATAGGAATCCATATTCATATAAACATTGTGTCCTGTATTTAAGAAAACATAAAAAGCACTTCAAAAACAGAGAGAGGAAAGATATAGATGAGTGGAAAAAAATCAAACAAGCTCAGCTGGTTCCTAGAGATTGTGATGAAGAGAAAACTTCCTTGGTTCTGGCAACATTCCAAGTTCAGTTAACTCCCCTTGATGCCCAGAACAACTAATAAAGGAGCAAAAAACCAATTTACCCTCAAGAGAAAAGAATGTAATCTTACAATAATTAGACATCTTACTGATTGAACATCTGACTAGAAAAATGAGCAAAGGAAATAAGCCCTCAATTTATAACAGAAAATGCAAAACATGCAACAATAATGAGGGATTTTTAAAGATGAAATGGTAAAGGACTTTTTAAATAATATTAAATGGAAAAGTTTTGGAATCAGAAAACTGAGTTTTAAATCTCGAAACTGCCATGTATTAACTGTTTATCCATGGAGGGACAAAAGAACTATTCTAAATGTTAATATCCTCACTGAAATAGTCTGCAGATGGTCGACAGATTTAGTCAATATATCAAAATCGCTTAAAATAATTTCTCCATTAGTAAATGAATGAGTATCACTGGTTATAAATTGAGACCAATTTTTTTCTACTATCTCTCAAATGTCTCCATTGCTTCCCCAGCTCTAAGTAATGAAATAATTGTAAAGTAAAACTCTGTAACATACCATTTTTTTGCCCACTAAATATGTTTTTTCATGTGACTATCCAACATGGGAGACAATACTGTAAAATGTATGTCTCAAGAACTGTTGCTTCAAAGCAATACCTACCTCCATCAGTCTGAGATTTCTAATAAATATAGAACATGTTCAAATATACCCCATCTTAAATATTTAAAAAATACCTTTAATTTACTATACAGACCCTCAAACGTAATACTATATTTTACAACTCCTTTTAGCTGCAAAACTCCTTGGATTTGTTCTAATTTTACTGGAAACAGTTTACACCTCCCATTCCTTCTTCATTCTTATCCAACTGGACTTCTTGTCCCACCATTTAATTGTAACAATAACATTCGTATTCCTGAGTCCAAAAGATGCTTCTCACTTTTAACATATTAAATAAATTAATTATAAACTAATTAGTCTACCTAGCAAAAAAAATTGGCAATCTTTTGGCTCTGGCTAGGCTGGTTTGGCTCGCAGGCAACCTAGGGTACAAGTTCTCCTCTTCCATTCTCTCTGAACCTTTTATGAAGTACCTGCTGAGCTGTCAGACTCACCTGGATGGGGTCTCTGAGACAAAGCTCTTCGTGTGGAAGTCTGAACTCCTTCCTGGATGAATGTTGTTGGAGACTGAAGCTCTATTCCCTGACACTACAGAAGGAAGGAGTCAAACATCAGTCCCCTCACCAGACTTAGGATTCCAAAAGCAACAACCATGCCCTGTCCAGCTCAAAGACTGCAACACTGATAGACTGCAGCAGAGGAGATATTTACAGCTCCCTGTGTCTGCTCATTAGGCACTGTTCCCATTGTTATTCCCATCTCTGAGCACATAATTTCCCTGTGGGACACCAGTCTGGACACAAAGGAAATTATTCCTGCAGATTCTCTTTTCCAAAGAGACCGTATTAGAAGTCAAGTGAATTCATTTTTTATTACTCCTTTGCCATGAATTTGTTTGACTTCAAGAACTCTAACCTCCCTTGCATTTATCTCAATCTTGATTTGGTGTTTTCTCCGAATCTAGACTGATGAATCTGATTTGATTAAGTTTCATTGGCTTCCAAATCATTGACTTGTGGTAGGGAACAGCTCTTGATATCTATAGAAAATTGATATTCCTCTGTTCAACAAGGAAGAAAGGTGTGTTCTTTTGATATAAAACCACAGGTACTGTAACCATTGGCTTCATGATGCTTTTGACAAATCTATTAGGAGTTTCATGCTTTTAACACAAGTTAAGAGCTGTCATTTAGTCCTTCATTTAAAAAATGTTAGTTAATTATAACACATAATTAGATGCTTTTATGCACCATAACCCTAACTTAGGTTCTTCTATGGTTTATCTCATTTAATTTATTAAAAATCCATTCTATGTGATCAGTCCTATTATGAACCTCACTTTACATTTTCAGAAATGGGGCTCAGAAGGATAAAGTGATTTCTCCAAAGTTTTGACCAAGTGATGAGTTCCTTTTGAAACTCCAAGTCATTTCCAGTTCTCATGCTCTAGGCCAGTGGTCCTCAGCTGGGGCGAGTTTGCCTGCAAGGACACTTGGCATTGTCTGGAGACATTTTTGGTTCTCACAACGGGAAAGTACTACTGCCACCCAATGAGTTGAGGCCATGGGTAGCGCTCAACATCCTACAATGCATAGAATGTTCCCACCATAAGGAACTTTGCAGCACAAATGTCAACAGTGGGAAGATTGAGAAATACTATTCTAAACCAGAACTTCTCCATCATCAAAGTGCGAACCATGAATCACTTGTGGATCTTGATCAAATTCAGATTCTGATTCAGCAAGTGTAAGGCGGGCCCAGAGATTCTGCTTTTGTAACTAGCTCCCAGTTGATGTTGGTGCCACAGGTTTGATCTGTGGACCACTCTGAGTATCAATGCTGTGGTCCAGTGTTAGAGTCAGAGGTAGGTATTTTGAGGCCTCCACTAAGAACCCTCTCACAGACCTCAGGTCTGACATAGTCATCAAAAGTTGGACTCAGTAGTTCAGCTTCTGCATACACAAGTTTACACATCCCTCTTGAGTATTTCTCTCATGACAGGGAATGAAATTTTTAGGTCTTTGGTTCTTTATCTGTAAACTCAGGAAATTCCATCTATGTTATGGAGTGGATGTGAGAAGTAAGCAATATTTTAGAGCTCAGCTATAAGTAATAAAAATATAGATTTTCTTTACCTCAGAATTTCTCAATCTCAGCATGATTGGCATTCTGGGACAGGTCATTCTCTGTGGTGGGGTCTGTTCTGTACATTGCAGGGTGTTTAGAGCATCCCTGGCCTCCAATCACCCCTCTCCAATGTCACAACCTAAAATGTCTGTGCATATTCTTAATGTCCCCTTTGGGGGCAAAATTGCCCTTGGTTAGAATCACAGTTTTCATTAGCCATCTCAAAATATTTTTGTTGCATTTTAATATTAGTGATTTTGATAAAGAATATAAAAGACCATCAAAAGTATAAATGCCACAGCCACACTATGAAATATTTTGGGTCCATCAAAATAATGAATCAGCATTTTACTGGTTTATTAGAGGGATGTCCATAAGGTACCATTGAGTAAGAAAGAGAGGGTGAGACAAGCTTGGATAAA